TTCTATTCTCCTGGACTGGCTTCCCTGTTACAAGGTTGATTTCTTCATTTTGTTAGCCTCATTTCTCTCTATAGGCATTATGCTGTCAACAGGGGTTGATAAAGTCTCGTACACCCCATAGCAGGGAGGTAAAACCCTACTAGCTTCTACACACACACACACACACACACACACACACACACACTCACAGACTCCATTTTCTTACAAGATAGAGTTCAATAGCTAAAAGGTTTGGTAAATTGTGTTTCCAGTGGCCCAAACTTTATTATGACTATTGGGGGAATTTATTTGTTTTTGAGAAAGAGCTTTTTTTTAAGCCAATTTTGAAAATTTCTTTCAAGAGTTACTGCAATAAATCTACACTATTGATTTAGCAAATGGTGGTTCATGGGCGCTCTCTGGAGTCACTTAAGTGTTTAAATTCTTCTCTTTATTACTCCAATGGTATCACAAGCCCCAGATGGGCGGGCATCAAGGGCTCTTAGTCCCTTTAAGACAGAAGCTTAGCAAAGGTTTCCATCAGCTCAGAGACAGCAGGAGAGCACTGACCACAGAGGGAACTGCAGAAAAATTCTTCCTTTCTTGGTCTCCATCTTCCAGAGAAATGTGTCATAGCACAGTACTGGGTCTGACAGGGACGGCTACTGAGAAAATGCAAATCGGAATGAATCCCAGTTTGCAATGAGTGGCAGACAACAGCTTCTCTACTGTGGCTTGTTCTCAGAGAGCTCCCGGACCAGCCCTAGGGGACATGTTTTAAAGGTGACTTCACACAGTCAGACATCGAGTCCCTGAGAACAAGCATAGTTTCAAGTCCCGCCGAAAATGAGAACAGCTCACATTTATTGGCATTTGCTAGTGTGAAACTGTCCTAAGTGCATGGTACTTTTTCACTCATTTGCTTATCCTTCATGTCAACTCCATGAAATGGGAAGGAGCCGCATCCCCAGTTTGCAAATAGACAAAAGGAGGCTGAGTTGTGCATCAATACCCAGCTAGCGAAACCAGGATTTGAACTCAGAAAGTCTTTTTGGAAGCCCACAGTGTGATCATACCATGTGCCATGTTTCCTTCGCAGAGTCCCACATTATAGTCTTGGTTCCAACCCCCTAGTTCCCTCCTCCTTCCCACCTTTTCCCTCCTCCTCTTTCTTCCTTCTTCTCCTAACCCAGTACTTGTTGGAGGCCCAGGATTACAACAGCTCAGCTCGGGGCTTGCTTTTCATGCTGCAGGAGTAAAAGGCACAAGGGGATGGCATTAAGGACCACCTCCAGTCCCACGGCTGCCCCCATCACCGCCTCAGTGTGCTAAGGGTCCTGGGATCACAGTTTGAAAGTCATCAACCCTCTGCATTGTCTTTGGGGCCAGCACCTGCCACGTCCACGTGCAGCTCTTCTATGAAATGCTGCCTCAGAGTGCAGGACCCCCCCCCTTTCCAAAGCCAGAGAGAGCAGACTGACAGCCAGCTGCTTGAGCCACATCGTGGCTACAAGGTTAAGGTTCTTATATTTTAAAATTCAGAGATTTTATATACAGAAACTCCAGGGGAAAAAAAAAATCTGTCACAATCCACACAGCAGCCATAGACCACAGCAGCCATTTCCCCTTCTCCCCTTAGCGCTGCTGAAGTCTTCTCTTTCAAAATATGGCTCGGTTCATTTTAATTTGGATATATTCCATTATGCGGTGTTCGGAGATGAGACCGTTGGAAGCCATGTGGGGGGAGGGGGAGTAGGAAGAGCCAGGACTGATGGAAATGAACCAGCGAGGAAGCTGATTCTTTCTTCCCAAAGGAATTCCTTGTCTTGAGTCAGAACGTTTCATCAGGGGCCTCCCCACGGTTCGTGGCACTGTTGGGCGGTTCCCACCTGGCCTCTGACTCGTGCACACTCCTGAGGTCACTGTGGACACAGAACAGCTTCTTCTTCTCCTGGCCTGAGGTCGGCAGCCTCCTGCAAGAGTGGGTCAGACTTCTGCCCCCAGCACCATCCTGATGTCCCTCTGACCCAGGATTCTGGAGTTTCCCCCAAATTGTGGCTTTTGAAAATTTTTCTGTCTTGAAACCATGAGTCAGTTTAGTTGACTCACACATGGTAGGAAGGGGAATAGGGGCTGTGGTAATTTTCCAACAGACACCTCCCCAGTCACCGCCTTCCATCCGTGGTTGAGAGCCAAGTAGTGTGAACACCCTCCCTGGGGGGTGGGAACACGAGACAGTCTCTGCTCTCACACTTGTGCAAAATAGAAACCATAAGTATCTCCAAAATGGTTTTTATTGGGATTTAAAATAATGGATGCACAGAACCGGGTCCAGTGCCTGGTGCACAAACAACATTTCCTACACAAAGACTTGATGTCCTTATTCTTACATTACCTTGAGCAGAATACCCCAGGAAGGCAACCCTGTTTCTCACAAAAATCATATAACATAGCATCTTTCTAAGTCAGAATGGCAAACATGGCTTCTCTTTCTTCCTGCCAACACGACTGCCTCCCTTCCCGTAACCGCAATGGAGGAGGACACGGCCAGGATGTAAGTCATGCTGGCCCCTTCTGCCTGCCCGTTTCCTCCCTGGACAATGAGAATCCCATCATCTCGGTTGTCCAGATGACAAAACTGAGCCTCAGAAGGTGGCGTCAGCAGGTACAGTGGTCAAAAAAGAGTTTTATAACGAAATGAAGATGTGTGTAGGCTGAGGCGTGTTGCCAGCTCCTGGGTGTCCCAGTGGGGCCACAGTGAGTCTTGAGATGGCTGGACTCACGCCTCACCCATCACTAAGTGAGTTTGCTGAGCAGAGGCCGTCAAACAACCATTAATGTTTCAACCTGTGCCCAGCTCTGCTGTAGATATGGAGATGCCAAGGCGAGTGTTCTTGCTTAGAAAGCAAGGTTAACAGTGCCCCCCCCCCCAAATAAAAGCATGTCTGTCACCCAGGGAAGAGGGAGACTGGGCCAGAGCTAGTGGGAAGGATCTGTGGAGGCTCAGATCCCCGCAGGCCTCGGCTGCCAGACCAAGTACAAGGCTCTTAGTTTGGAAATGTTCCAGACTCCAGACACTTCTCCCTCATTTTCCAAGGCAAGTCGCTCACTCTTGAGCTCGCACAGCTCATGGATGGATGCACCAGATGCTGGATTGATGTTCCCTCCCAGAGTCCTAGCCAGCATCTCATAAGTCGTGATTGTCTGGGCCCCGCTTCTGGCCCAGAAAGCATGAGGCAGATTCAGGAGTCCCAGGGCTTTGGGAAGTGTGGCGACCTCCCTGTCGCCTCCTGCCCCAGTCCCCGAGCGGAGCTGAGGGTGATGAGGTGGAGAATTAGCATTCTGGCTCTTGAGCAAGCGCCCCAGAGACTGGGTACATGTGTGTCCTTATGGCCTCAGCAAAGAGAAGGGCTTCCCCAGCACCCTGCAGAGTGGGACCCGCACCCGGCGGGGATGGCATTCTGAAGCATATTTGTTTCCTTCTTGACGTGCTGTAGAAAATTCCCTACAGTTCACCTGAAGCCATGTAGCCTTCCCAGCGGATGGAGCAGGAGATGCTGCGACCTGCCCCCCGTCCATGCAGCAGTACCCAGCTCCCCAGAATCCTGTCCATCCCACAGACCCCAATGTGTGCCCAGAAAGGCTTTCCTTCTCCTTTCCACCAGTAATGATCTCATCCGTTCAGCAGGTCCCAGAACCTCTCCAAGTTCCCCTTTCCTGACTTCCTAAATGAGGGCTGGCAAACTCTGTCCACAAAGGTATAGATAACAAAGACTCAGGGCTCCGCTGGCCATCCATTACTTAATGCTGTTGCCCAGCCGCACTCTTGCTGCACGAAAACCCCAGAGACCAAGGTAAACATGCCCGGGGCCGTGTTCCAATGAAATGATTTATGGGAACGAGCAGCAGGCTCGTTCGGCTCCCAGGCCACAGTTTGCTGCCCACTGGACAGGAGACACTCGCTTGGGGTCCTGCCTGTGATTCCTCACTTGACCTTCAGCTGCCATGGCAGAGAACATGGGATGGGGACAAGGGGTCCTGAGATGCTGCCTTCCGTCTGGTTCTGTGTGGTGGTGAGCAGATCTTTTTTTTTCAAACCCCTTCTGGGCCTGAATTTCATTGTCTGAAAAATGAGAAGCTTGGACCTTCGTTAGTTCCCAAAGCATCACAATCGCTGGGGCAAGCTTGCCCCAAGTACGGCTCTGGGGGGTCCCCCAGATTTAGGGTATTGATTGGAAGCCTCTGTTGGGGACCAGAGAGCCCCCTTAGCTAACAAGCCCCTCCCTCGAAGCAGAAGGGGGTGTGTTAGAGGATGTGAGGTGGTTTACACTGTCTCCAGGAGAGCCGCCGGCATGGGCCGGGACGAGGCAGCCGGGGATGGAAGAGGCAAGACACCTGCAGGCTCTGGCCAGGTTCCTGCAAGGAAACAGCCGACCCGTCCACCTGGCCCCAGTGCCCAAGGGCCCATGAGCACAAACCACCCCCACAGCTGCCCCACAAGAGCCAGGAGCACACACCTGCCCGGAAGCCCCCTGCGGCAGCCGCGTCCTCCCCGGCTTCCCAGTGTGCGTCCCTGAGGATGGGGCCTGACCTGCTTCGGGGCTGCTTGTAGCTGCAGGGGAGTGCCCAGGGCCCGGCTGTGCCTCTCTGCCTCTCGAGAACCGGAGGAAACGCTAGGCCTGCAGCGTCAGGCACAGCCGTGGAACGGAGCTGACAAAGAGTCCATTTAGTTCTCCAGGCTCATCCTGCAGGGGTGCGGCCGATGGGTCCCCATTGGTCTCACCGCTCCACACCTGGTGCTCAGTCTCTGCCCTGTTCCTCCCCCGTGGGTGCTGCTCCGTCCCAGGCATCTTCGTCCCTCATGTGGAGGTGACTCCCTGTCCAGGTGCTGCCCTGGAAAGGTGTTGACCTTTACCTTGGACTCTAGGTGCCGCTGTGGCAGGGGTGGCAGGAGGGGGAGAGAAGGGCCTTTCCACGGGGCAAAGTCAGCTCAACGCGATTCTCCTTCACTCCTTTTCCAGAAGCAGCAGCTTGTTCAGCGAGGTCGTGCAGATGAACTTTGAAATAGCCAGCTTCAGCAGCCTCTCGGGGACGCAGCCCATCGCCTGGCAGGTGGAATACCCGCGGAAGAGGACCACCGACACCGCCGTGTCCGAGATCTTCATCAGCCAGAAGGACCTGGCCGCCATCGTTCCCCTAGCCACGGTAAGACCCGCGTGGGCCCAACGGCGCCCCTGGGGCCTTCCTTCTGTCCCAGGACGTCAGCCGCCAGGGCCTAGGGGGCGCCGACACCTCCCCAACCTTAGGGCATCGCCGTATCATTTGTCAAGCTGGGTTACCTTCCTGCTTCCCCCCAACACTCGCTCTAACTGTATCCCAGTTTGTTACGGACCTCCCTCTCCTCTAGTTACGCCAGTCCTGTTTGACCTCCTGTTCCCTTTTTAGGAGACTGGAGGCCACTTTGTATATTCGTCCAAGAAGCTAGGCAGGGCGGCCACAGCAAACCACCCGAGAGGCTCAGGTGCTCCGCACAACCTCAGTGATTCTGGCTGAACGTTGCACGGCTGAAGTGGTGGGGGCTCTGCTCCACGCAGGGTCTCGGGGGCCTTGATGGATGGATCCTTTGCCGTCTTGTAGCCCCAATGTCAGGAACATGTGGCCTTCATGGTCTCCGTGATAGAGGAAGAAGCAGCTGGAGAGTCGTGTGCTTTCTTAAGCAATGGCCTGGAAGGGACATGTGACTCTCTCTCTCTCTCTCACACACACACACACACACGCTGTTGGTCCTAAGGAGTCCTGTGGCCCCGTCAGATCTCCAGAGGGTGCAAGGGGAGGGCTGGGTGGACACCATGGTCTGTGCCTCATTCTGTGGTGCGTCACCATGGCCTTGATCCACATGGACCACGACACAGATACGGTACGCACAAACCCAGCCAGGACTTCTGGCTCGACGCCGTGGCCACTTGAGAACAAGCAAGGAAGAGAGAATGGTGGGAAGCCACACGGCAGTTCTGCTCTGTGGTCGCTCACCTGCACCTGCCTGGCTCCACAGAGACACCCTGCCAGGAGGTCCGAGGGAATGGCATGCATGGCAGAGGCACATGGAGAGTCCTTTGATGTTCAGCTACAAGTGTCCTTGCCAGAATCCGCCGGCCCTCACGTGGAGCCTGGCATGGAAATTGTAAAACCAATTTCTGCTCAGCTCTGGCATAAGCAGACTTCATTGATACCAAGCTGGGAAATATATCATTAGGATTCTTTGGGTTTCGTGTGACAAAACACCACCCCGTTGGCTTAAGCCCAGTGAGAATCTGCTCGCTTGTGTGACTCCAAGTCCAGTATCCATCCTGGCCTCCCATCCGCCTGATCGGGACTCAGCTCCGTCTCCAGAACTGTTTTTTTTCCTGCCTCTTGGCTTCCGTCCGTGTCAACTCATGATCGCAGCCATTGTTCCTGCCAAACAGGTCAAGCCTCGAGCCCAGGAAGGGTACTTGGCTCATTTCCCAAAACCCCAACAAAGGTTTCACTGCCGCGAGGACTCCTCTGGCAGTCATGCTGTCTCCCCTGAGCAGTCCCTGTGGCGGGGGTGTTACACCCCCAGAGTCTGCACCGGTGGCAACAGACGCCGTGGACCTCCCTCCATACCCTCGCCTCGCCTTCTGCCTCCCACCTCCAGCACTCGCTCATCTTCACCTGAGAGTTCTGTCTCACGTCCAGGACACGAGCCCCGAGGGATTAGCACACCCCCATCCAGGACGCTTTCTGCACCGCGGCTCCCAGGAGTGGGCAGACACTGAGTCCGGCTCCCCAGGCCCACCTGAGCGTTGACTCTGAGGCGGGAGCTCCACATCAGCACCTCCGCCCTCCCCAGAGCCATCAGGCTGCAGTCACAGCCCATGGTTGCTTTCGGGGTAATACCTGTTGTGGTCCCTGACCGATGGGGCCTGCACCTCACAATAAACCACTTGTGATGGAATCCTTCCGGGAAAACCCAAACCGAGGCACAGGTCAGCCGCACAAACCACATGAGTTTGAGAGCAGAGAGCTCTTGGGCTCGTTTCGCCAGAAAACATGAGAACAGACACCGGGCGGCAAATGGACACAGGGCTCCTCCCAATACCTGGGATGCAAGGAGTGGAAATGTCTTTTATCCAAATAACGAGGTCCGTCTGCAAACGGGTCTCTGAAGCGAACAGCTTCGGGACCACACCCAGCCTCTGCTTATCTCCCTGAATCAAGTTTTTGGGGCCGCAGCCACTCCCGTCCAGCTCTGAGTGGTCCGTAGCCACTTCCGCTGGCCACAGAGAGAAGGAGCAGCCGTGGCAGGTGCCAGACGGTCCACCGCGGCTGAAGCATGCGCTGAGGGCTCCTTCTGGGGAAAGCACACCAGTCCTCCTGGAGAAGACCTGGAAGAGTGCTGTCCCCGCCTGGCCAGCCCCTGTGAATCGCCTGGGAGGCTTTAGAAATGATTGCCGGGGCCGCACCCGGACAAATCCGGTGAGGATCCCTGGGCGTGGGGAGCAGGCAGCCGTAGGTGGTCCCACGAGGCAGCCAGAGCTGGACACGGAGAAGCGGAAAGCTTGGGTTGGGTCTTCAAAGGCCGCTGGTCCCCGAGCGCTGTTAGCGCCTTAACCGAGCGCGGGCGGCATCACAGGACGGTTCCACGAAGCGCGCCCATCGGGGCTCCCCGGTCCCACGGACCCCCAGCCCGACTTCCAGCGGTTCACGGGACTGGGACGTCTAGAATAGTGTTCTCAAGCTAGCCTCCCGGAGATTCTCCTTGCACGCAGAGTCTCACTCTGGAGGTGTGAGCAGCAGGTTTTTAAAGTCCTGAGTGATGCCGTGGGGCTGCGGGGCTGCAGGTGCAGCGTGGACCCGATGATGTCACCATGGAAGCTGATTGGCTCAGCTCGTGTCACGTGGCCAGCCTGAGGCCAATCCCGGAAGTCAAAGACCGTGATGATGCTCTAATTGGCGGAGCCTGGGAAGCTTGTCCCCTCCCCGCCCCCCCAGCCTCCCCACTCCACCCCCACCCCCGCTGTCGCAGGTGCAGAGTCTGGGAGCTGGGGGGCGTGGTGCATGATGGGAAACTCCCCGGACGGGCACAGGCAGCGCAGCCTCACTGCAGAAGGCATCACCTACCAACGGGAGCTGCTAATGCGTTGAGGTTGGACAATGACTCCTCTTGACTTTACAGGCCCAGGAAGAGGCGTCAACAATCTGCAGCCCATGGGGCAGGCTCAGTCTGTCTGTTTTCGTCCACCGTGCAAGCCGGGAATGGTTTCTATGTTTCCGAGCCGCTACATTGGAAGTGGTTACATAAGGAGCTTCTTCGTAGGCTCAGTGTTGCCTCTTGGCTGTACTTTCCATCTGGCCCTTTAGGAAGAAGGTTAGCAGGCCTGTGACCCAGAACATCAACATCACTTCTGGGGTGGAAGTGCTTAGCTCCTGTCCTACTTAGTTTATAAAAAGGGAAGGCTTTCAGATACCATGAAAAGAGAAATCATGGTGAGGATAGGAGATAGTATCTTGCCGTACTTTTCAAGGGGCCACAAGAAAGCCGTCTTCCAAACAAGATGTGATTATTGCGGTTGTTGTGTTTTTGTAATGCTTTTAAAGTAAAATGGAGTAACTCCTTAGGTAGTACCCAGAATCCAATTGTTTGCAAGTAACTGTGTGAATTCGCACTGGCTTCCTTGGAACGACCTCTGACGGGCTCACATGGCTGCCTGAGGCCCGGGGGTGTCCTCAGGTTCTGTCCCCTGCAAGGTACGGTTTGACCTCAGCTGTGCAAAGCGGTGTGGGACGTTTGGAACTTTGATGACAGGCAGCCAGTAAGTGAGGCAGTTTGGAGCAACTTCTAGTCTCAGTTTTAGTATTTTCAAAGGGTTTTTTCCCCCTAGAATGAACTTTAGTACAGTTTTAAGCAGCCATAATGTAAAGTTTTATTGGAAGCAACTAGCAAATATATCTGAAGCTTGACTAGGAGAAGAGAAGATTAAAAAAAAAAAAAAGGTAAAGTAGACGCATATGTTACTGTTAGTGGCTGGTGAGTCAAGTGGTCAAGTCTTGGGAAAAATTAAGTCAAGTCCCCACAATGGTCACTCATTCTATAGAAATACAAATGTCAGAAAGGTTAAATAGAGGATTGCTTGTTGGGAAATATGCCTCACTGGGAAGGTTCTCACTTTCAAATCAGGCCTTCTCCAAAGCCTTCCTCAATCCAGGTGAGAAAGGAGGGGATCCAGCGACTCATCAGTGGCCTTGGGTCCCACTCAGCTGCAGGCTCCAGCTTCTGGGGAGCAGATGAGATGGGAAAGGGGGAGGGATTCAGCTGTCCTGTAAAGTAAGCCATTGAGGCAGGAGTATCTGAGGCACATGGTCCCTTGCATGGCTTTGTGTGGTGAGCCCTGACCCACAAAGCTGACATTTGCTGACCTCTTTTTCTGTTCTCTTGGCAAAGGGCCCTTTCTTTGCTTGGAGGCAGGAAAGACCCAGATCTCAGCTCTGTGGCCTCAAACACCCGTCCCTCCAGTCCCCACCCGGCTCCTGCCCACTCTGCATGCATACTCTGGGGATGCCGACAGTCTGGGATTACCTACCCTCTGGGGATGCTGATGCTTTGGGGGGCTCTCACTCTAGGAGAGGCTGAAGGTCTAGGGAGCCGACACTCTGGGGATCCCAGCAGACAGCAGACTGGTAGATAGCTCACAGGACAGGACCTGGTAAGGTGCTGCTGGGAAGAAAAGTAACGTGGGGCAAGGGAGTGGAGCGTAAGTGTTTCCCGTTCTGTTAGTGCCTTTGTGCTTTTCCCTAGCATTTATTAAAAAAAAAAAAAACTAAATTTAATGCATAGTCTCTGGAGTAAGCAGGAATCCCTCATTCAGGCAGGTGTAGGAAGAGGCCCTTTGCTCCAGGACTGACGAAGTCCCAGATTGAGTTTCCTGCGAGGTGGTGAGATTGACCCCGAATTTTGAAGAGTTTCGAACAATGGCCCTTTTTTGTCTTTGCAGACTTTAAGATGAAATCATTTGCCTTGACCCCTGAAACATGGTGGGAACTTGGTTCTTTTTTTTCTTTTTTCCTTATATAAAGCTTTCAAAATTCCTAGAACGTGTCCATATCTCTCCGCATAAAATCAAATTTAAAATGAAGTGGCTGTCGCCAGGGCTGTTTAAAGGAGAGATTGCTACTTGTTCTCACAT